CTTTCTCTCTCTCTCTCTCTCCCACACACACACATATACACACACACCTCACTATCAGCTGACTGACAACGTTAATTCTTCCTCCACTCCAGGTCAGTTCATCAAAATCAAGTCCCGCCCTCCACCTCGCCGACCTGAACAAGTGTTGGTTTACTACCAGATCGAAGCTCCTGTGACAAAATACTGGCGCCGCGGCGGCAATTTCGACAACCCGAGCTGGAACCACATCTTCAACTGGACCATGTCATATCGCATGGACGCCGACATCACCTTCTATCACGGAGTAATAAGGAAGCGCTTGCGACAAACGCCGGAACGCGATTACGAGGCAATTGTGAAAAGGAAAAGGAAACTCGTCGCTTGGCTTAGCTCAAATAGTAAGACGCAGTCAAAGAGACAAGAGTACTTCTCCGAACTTCTGAAATATATTCCAATAGATAACCTGGCGAGAAGGACTGCTAAATGTTCCAAGAAAAGGGACCCCGAATGCCTCTCTATGATAAACGAAACCTATAAATTCTATCTCAGTTTTGAAAGTGCGATGTGCGATGACTACATTACGGAAAAACTCTTTAAGTACTACGGTCTTGATTTGATCACGGTAGTTCGAGGCACGAATCAGTATACTGAACATGCGCCCAAAGGTACGTATATAAACGCAGCGGATTTCAGCTCACCCAAAGAACTAGCGGAATATTTGCTCTACCTGGACCAACATGACGAAGAGTTTATTAAACTGCTGAAAGAGAAGGATAAATATTTCAATCTGTATGAAGATTTCTTACTGAAACCGCCATGGGGAAATTTTAACATGGAGTACAGGTATGAAGCGACAGCGTTCTGTCATATGTGCCATAGGCTGTGGAATCTGGAAGACTACAGGAAGACTGTAGCCGATGTGAGAGTTTGGTTCAATTCCTCCAAATGTTACCAACCGGAGAACCTTCAGCGGGTTGAAAATGCAAGTTCGAGAATTCTCCAGAAGGGAAGTGTTGTGAGCGGCCATAATGAATAATAGAGAAGGCTGAAGAAACAGACGACAGCAGCTCAGGGAATACTTTGTATATTATTATGTCATCAATGATTGCTGTGTGTGTGTGTGTGTGTGTGTGTGTGTGTGAGAGAGAGAGAGAGAGAGAGAGAGATTTTCATGTTTGTATGTTGTTAGTTTAGTCTTCATGAGTATTAATATATGTATGTCTCAGGGCATCCATTTTGAAATTTGCCACATAAGCCCTGCCACTCTATGAAATCCAGAAACCAGGATCTCAGGGGTGGAGGGTGGGGGGTGGGGGGAATCGGGATTTGGTGAAAAAAAATCAGGATCAACGACAAATCATCAAGGTGACTGCCAAGCTTACTTAAAAAATGTCCAGGGCTGTCCAAAAATATTGTCCATGTAAATGCCCTCTGTGTGTGTGTGTGTGTGTGTGTGAGTGTGAGTGT